GTTATAGCAACTTTAAAATTTATAAATAATAATATAATAATAATAATAATAATTAATTATGTCACGTCAACGGGTTGGGTCAACGGGTTCATGGGTTTAGAAACTAAAACCCAATACCCGAACCAAATCTATACGGGTTGTTACGGGTTGGATCGGGTATACCCGTAAATGAATGGGTCCGGGTAATTAGTGGGTTGGTTCGGTATAGGTAGGCGGGTTTGCGGGTCGACCCGCACCCATGAACACCCCTAAAATAAACCGTGTATTTTGAAAAGCACTAGGGAGACATTATTATATATAAAGTGATTACAACTAATTATATGATATAGTCGATGTGGAACTATTCTATATACACATATTCTTAACACTATATTTACATATCAACACAAACTAATGTCTTTTTTTGTACTTTTTCAGGAAAAATGGATGCAAACAATGACGAAAGACTGGGAGTTATCCATGAAACCTAACATGTGTTCGTTCAACATGAGAGGGTTAGGCTTCGGAATAAGCAGACCAGAGTTAGGTGGAAAACCGTCCTTAGGCTTCATGAGGGAGAAACATTGACTTATATGAGTCGTCTGTTACAGGGGTCCTCGTCCCAGGGGCACGTCTCCCTTGATCGAGAGAAATCTCATGTTATTGCAAATGATGGTGTTCCTCCACTTGCAAAGCCTTTTCTATGAGGGCTCTCTGACACCTCCTTATTGATACACTATAGAGAACATGTTGTTAGGCATGTCTGAGCTAGAGAGATATTTTGTTAACGATTGCTAGGCCCTGGAACTGATATTTTGTTTTTTTAATAGAAGTGTGATTTTTTGAAGTCTGTTAACCATAATAGAAAGATTATAAAGCTTTATGAGCCTAAGAATCATTGGTTCCAGAGTTTCCTCCAGTACTCCGGTCTTGCAGTCCTATGTTGCTTTGGGTATAAGACCATTATCCATGGCATGCATGGGGCTTTTGCTAAGAGATGGCATAAGGAAACGTCACATTCCACTTCCCTATTGGCGAGATGACGATCACCCCAGATGGTGTTGCTTGCCTTCTACGCCTTCCCATCAGAGGGAGGTTAATTGATCATTCTAAGATCAAACGCGATGAAGCCTAGGAGTTGATGGTCATTAATTTGAGAGTTTACCCAATGGATACCCTGATACAATGTAAGAGTACCAGATGTGCACAAGCAAAACTTTCTTACTTGGAGATGATATATCAAAACAACTTGGAGTTGGACGAGAATGTCGACGGCACACCTGGACGAGAATGTCGACGGCAATGAGTGTGCTTTGAGGTGTTTCCTTCTATACTTGGTTGGCACATCCATTTTTGTGGGAAAAAAATACCTTAAGTATTTCATCGACTTGTCGGTCATTCACGAGTAGAACTAGGAGGCCGCATGTTTGGTGTACCTGTACTCCAAGCTGAGCGAAGGTTCTCTTTGGACGAAAAAGAAAATGACAGGTTCTTGCACCCTGTTGACAGTAATTTTCATACCTTATATTAATATTAAAACCACTTTTTTTACACTTGTTACTAATACTTTTTTCTTATTCATTTTTCAGGGATGAATCCTATCCCACTTTCACCGCATACACGAGTTTGATCGTGGGCTAGAGTATATTGAGGATTGACCATGTGTTTGCCTATATCTTCTTTGAAGAAGGAATGATGTTGTGCGACCGTTCGTGTGTATATTGACCAGACTCAGCATGATGACAACGACTGGACACCATACAAAACTCACCAGAACATTGTTCCCTTCGAACCCATTTTATTTTACATCGGATGGCTGGTATTTGTGATGAATTTGATGTGCATGTATCTAGCAGAGCGATACATGCGTTAGTTTGGATATGTGCAGATTCTTCTGAGATCCCCCTTCGTAGCAGCTCCTAACAACATCGTCCGCATACATCTTGATGACATATTGGCGAATTACGAGAGTCATCTAGTAGAAGAGGAGTATCAGATTATAACCTCCACAAGTCAGTGGTCTTATGTGGACGGTTACATAACTTGGTCTATATTGTGTCACACCCTATCATGACACAAGACACTCATGGACGTCCACTTAGGCCTGCTCATGAGGAGATCCTAGAGAATGAACATGGTAGAGATGACCAAGTCATTGATGTGTTGTCGATATGTCAGAATAATATGTAGATTACGCGTAAGGGCATATAGTCTAGGTTGTTTAAAAGAGATGATGATTATGTGGTTGCCCTAGCACGTTCAGTTCTTACTGAGGTACATAATCCCTTAGGTTACCAATGGTAAAAGAGGAGCCATGGATTTAGGATTAGACATACGTAGTGGAGCATGCTTTTATTTGTATTTTGGAATGTTTTAGTGTTTTTTCTTCCATAATTTGATAACAATGCTTTTATTTGAATGTTTTTGAATACATGCACAACCTTGTTCTATTATATTCTTGTTTATTAATGTTTGAATCAAATAATGGCAAAGTCGAATTAAAATGACTTTGAATTCAAAAAAATAAAATTTAGGACAATGTTTCTGCCAAAAACACATGTTGAGAAGATTTCGGAGATGCATTTTCAAATGTACCCTAGAAATATTCTCAGATACATCTCCGAACCATTTTGTTTGACAAAAATTGAGTAGCTGATTTACAAAGAAAGAAACGTGCTTTTGGAGATGTATCTTCGAATTTACTCTAAAAATATTCGCAAATGCATCTCTAAATCAATTTTTTTTTTAAATTAATAACTATTTAATTTAAGAAATATGAAAAGATTTAAGGTGCATTCGCGTTATACATTTATAAACATTTCTAAAAATATTTTTTAATTTTCAAAGATGTAAACCACGATGGAAAAAGAAATTGCCAAAACATATGGCTTACTCAAAGGTTCAAAGTTCTACTGCACACCAATAATGTCTAGCAATGACATATGCGAAGACAGAGGCGGAGAACAAGGGCAAAGATTAAGGCATCGTTACAACGATTATCATCTCCAACTATAAAAGCTAGATTTTTTTGGAGACTCATCGCTAGATATAAATGCCCCTCTAAAAGGTAACAATCTTTATTCTACATGCATGTAACTTTTCTTTCACTTCCTAACTTAAATGGAGTGTTTTCGGTTACCATTCTCATCAACAAAGATAAAAATTGTTCAACCATATTTTTCCGAGCCATCATCTCAATCCAATTTGAATAAACTAGTTAGCAACAACCCAAATTTCACAAAGAGTTCTCTTCTATTAACATGTTTGATAAGAAATCACAACAACAACACAAATATCTTATGACAATATTTTTACATTTTTTAATCTATGTTAAAAAAATCTTAAACATCATTCATTTTAAAACGAAAGTAATACACGTGACTGAAGCAGCAAGGCTACAAATACAATATAGCAATAGTTCATCTCGTTTGCATAAAATTAGAAAATATTTCATGAGCACATGTGGTAGGGAATTGAAATTCATTGACATTATCTGCTATTGAATAGCATTGAATAGCAAATTGCAACTAGTTCCTATGATTAAGGACGATGATAATGATATAAAATCAAATCATATTATTAGGCCGAAAACAAGGACAGAACACCATGTCCCAGAATGAATGGTACCAGACACTAACTGTCTACTAATAACGACAACTAAATGGGTGGGTCCATCAATAATTGAAAGAAGAAAAGAAAAACAGAGCAAATTCTGGTTCTAAATTGAGACAAACTAGATAATGTAAAACCAAGAAAAATTCCAAAATGATTCTTCTAACCTCTATTTTATGGCATCCTGAGTCAACATATGTCAGTACTTAGAAGACAACCTGGTATCACATGTCAAATCAATGAAAATCTGGTATAACATAATGCATTATACTGTATGATCTTCCATTACAAATAAACTAACAAAAAGTTTTCAGACAACAAATTATTATCACAAATAATGAGTCTTTTGATATTCCATCTGTTTTTCTGTTAAAAAACAAAAACACAAAATCAAAGTGTTTGGTCTAAATTTAAATCAAATATATTGATTTTTTTATCTATGAGAAGATTCTCCTATCGCACTAGTTTTATCTCCCACCAACTTGGGTATGGTACACAACTTGCATTGCGCGCGCTAAAGATTCACCTCTTGCGCTAGTTTTGTCTCCTGCAACTCATGTATAGTATACAACTCACATTTCGCACACTAAAGAACACACAACTATAATCGCGTTGACTTGAATCTATGACTTATTGCTTCACTAGTATACCACAATTATATGATGTTGAGACATAAGAAGAAGAACAATCACTTCTCATGAATGATAAGACAAACTTACAAGAAATGTTAACAATCTAATATATTGGATGAATGCGTGTATGTATGTTCAAACACAAGGATATGATGATTTGTCGACAAAGATTAAAACATGATCGTTTTTCCCTTTCAAACCAAAAAGATTCACCTCACGCGCATTAGATTTGTTTCCCGCCAACACGCCAACTTGTACATAGTACACAAGCTCGCGTTCATAGAGTAAAGAACACACAACTATGAGCGTGTTGAATGAATCTATAACTAATAAAACATAAATGTCAATATTTGTCACGAATAACAACAACCTCAACCTCGTAAATTACGAAGAAATAAAGTCAATCAATATAATTAGTTGAGGATTTTTGTAATCTATATTTAGGGGGACGGAGATAGTAGTAACATTTTTCTTCCTTGCTTGTGCAAGGATCGTCGAAGTAAATAATAACTCTTCTCAATATTATTAGGTGAAAAACAAAAATAGAATCATATAATCAAAACCCTATCAATAACATAAATCTTTTATAACCAAAACAAAACCATAAATCTCATAATTTTCCCCAATTAAAAAAAACCCATCATTCTCAATTTTCAGCAACTTCAATCCAAATTCCAAACCAAGATTTTCAAACTCATTACATACAATTTCTACAACACATTCCACCCTCTCCAATCAACCAAATAAAAAAATTAAAAATAAAAACAAACAAAAAAGTCACCTCCTTGTTCTCCTTTCACCAATGTAATGAGAAAGCGGAACAACCTCCTGCAACGGAGTCGACAACGGTGTCGGCATCGGCGAATTCCGACACACCGGACAAGAACCATTAAGCTTCAACCACGAATCAAGACAACAGAGATGAAAATAGTGTCGACATTCCGGCATCATCCTCAACATCTCGGAATCCTTATACTCACACAAACAGATCGAGCAAGTACCATCACGTCCCATCATCTCCTTCCCATACTGCATCCTCGGGTAAGAATTGATCACGCTCTGGTCCAAACCCGAAGCGACGTCGTCTCGATCATCATCATCCTCCGCAACAAAAATCACCCGCGGCAGAACGATACCGTCTGAGTTCCGTTGGTTGTTGCTGTTGCTGTTATTGTTGTTGCTGTTACGACGGTTATGACGGTTACGGAAAGTGCGGCAGCAGAGGTAAGATGAAAGGATGAGAGTTGAGATGAGGAAGAGGAAGCCGAGAGCTATGGCGATGGAGTAACCGAAGCCGAGGTTGGAGAGGTAAGGAAGTGGCGGCGGCGGCGGCGGCGGTGGTGGTGGAGGAGGGTAAGGGTTTGAGGAAGACATGGAAATGAGGATGGTGATGATGATTTGAAGGATGAAAAGGGGAATATTCCATTTGGGAGAGGCTATTGTTGTGAATAATTTTGGGATTTTTGAAGGGTGGGTGAGGGTCTTAGTTGCTGCATTTAATACTAAGAGTAACTCAAAACTTGAACGGCATTCAATGGTTGCGTTGATTTGGTGATGGTTTTATGATATTCATTACTTATTTGTTGTTGTTGTTGTGCTTGGTTAGTCTCTTTGGAACTTGGAAGGGTGGGGAAACATAAACTATGGTTAACCAATAACATGCTTGTGTTAACTTGCAAGTTATAGGCAATTCAATCTTTGTCAAATAAAAGTATACTAGTACTTAGTAGTTATTGAAAAAAGAGAAAGTTTATGTTAAAAATGTAATAAATATTTAAAAAATGTCCATAATTTATGATATATAGGAATTATAACTTTCCTGCCCGGTTTGTGAGATTTGTAAATAGAGAAAGTAATAAATAAATCAGAGAGTATAAAAGGAAATATAAAATTAATACGTAGTACTAATTTAAAATTGTGAAATGACATAAAATGATATACTTTTTAAAATTGTGAAATGACATAAAATTAATACTGTGGAATGATATGTTATTTGTGTATCTAAATAAAAGATTTTTTTAAATAATTCTTTTAGATGTAAAGAGGTAGTATTATTATGGATTTGGGATTGAAAACGTTTTAATTATTTATTTTATTTTTAATTATGATACTTTTATGAATATTTGTTTGACCTTGAATATTATATTTTAATTTTAAAAAAAAAATATATTTATACTATTTTAAAAATACATTATTTAATAATATGCTTTTCATTTTATTCAACTATTCATATTAGTTATTGATATATTTTTATTGTAATAAATATAAAATGAAAAATAATAAATTATAAATAATACACAGTAAATTATAAGGTGTAATTAAAAATATATATGTTACATTGAAAAGTGTAGTGATATATTTATAAAAGCCCATGACAAGGCATTACTAGAACAAATCTAAGGTGATCGCCAAAGAATATGACACTCAGATATAATTCATACTTTGCTGGTCATTCGCCTAGATGAGGAACGTGTAGGGTTACATGTGAATAACCTATAACTGTATGTGCACGAAGTTTGGGTTACGATTTCTTAAGAAATAGGTAGTCAGCAACTTCCCTAAACAAAGTGGAGTGGTTGCTAGGTCTTAGGGATCCTCAAATCTAGGCCCAAGGGCCTCTATAAATACCTCAACTCTAAGGTTGAGAGGGACAATTCAGAATACACCTCAAACCCCTCAAAAGATACAAACTTTCTCACCTCACAGGAGTTTTTGCTCTCTCCACATCGAAAATCACCTCAAAATAGAGTCTCTTACCACCATGTGCTTGCTCTAAAATCACTGAAATTTCTTAAAGCCGCTAGTCACCCCTACCAGCATTGGGATATAGCGTATATGTACTTTTTGACAAATACAGTCACGCAATACTTTAGCGCCTCGACAAAATTAACCTGGGTCACACCTTCCATTATCAGCACCACTTCGACACTCACCAAAACCTCCACTCGTAGTCCTAATTGTTCTCAACCATGTTTTTTAGGAGTGGACAATCCATATACATAAGAGGATATACGAGGTATCATCGATCTCAATGCCATAGCGAAGATGTGCCGCCATGGACGAACTGGATCGTCATAATCAAAATATAGAGGATAATGTCCTCAACATCCAACAACACCAACACGATACTACCCTAACAGGGGAGATGGAAGTACTAAACTCCCAATGACTTTTAGACAATATTGTAGCAAAGTCCTTATTTCCTTAAGGAGGTGTTGTTCGTGCCGCCGTGAGTACCAATTTTTTTGTTTGAACCAGTGTTAAAGGATCCTACTAACTATGTGTTATGAACAACGGTATAAAGTATATGGTTATTGAGGGGTAATGAGGTTCTTTGGACTTTGAGTGGTTGTCAAAACTTTGAATGTAAGGATAAAAATGATATAATTTTGGTTCGTGTTAAGCCTTCTACTTATAGCTATTGTGAGGCTCGTATTATGACATGTGATTGTGAAATATGATTACTAACGCTGCCCTTGTAATGAGTGAGAATGTGGATATGAATTTCTATTAGTTGCATCCTCCTCGTGACAAGCAAAGACGTGAGTCAAACACGTTTACTTTTTTTGTAATGGAGACAAAGTAAAGTATTAATGTTTGTCTAGATTTAGATTAGGGGAGCTCATGGTTGAGTTATCGACCCACTTGAACATGATAATTAATTTCTTATTTTGTATTAGAGTGGTCACACCTAAGATCAATCATTTGTTATGGTCGACCTTTCGTGTAGGTGTTGAGGCTCATGTTTGCATGTGGTTGGATTTATGACATTAAATGTTTATATCAACCTATAGTCCCCAATTATAAGGAGAATTTAACTTGTCACCCTCCAACTTATACCTGATACTCCCCATATTTTCAATTTTTCAAAAATTTCCTTACTATTATTTACCAACCAAATTTTCTTTTCTTCCAAAATTCTCACTTTTACTAACATAACAAAAACGAAATTTTTGATACGCATTTTTTCGCATTTCTGAAAATTCTAGTGTTTTTACCGAAAACTTATGGTAAAAAGTATCAAAATTTTCAAAATTTATGGTAAAAAAAAACTAGAAATTTCAAAAAATTTAGTAAAATATATCATAAATTTCAGGTAAAAAATACTGGAAATTTTTTATTAAAAAATCTTAAACTTATACCAAAAATTGTTTAAAAAAATTTGGAGAAAAACAAAAACTTGTGTAAATTTCAAAATTTTCAATAAAAATCTATAAATTTCTAAAATTTTTGAAATTCATCCAAAGATATAACAGTAAAATTGCTTTAAATAGGTGAGAGGTGTCAGGTATAAGAGTGTCAGAATAAATCCTCAACTATAAGGCATGTAAAAATGGAATTCTTACAATCATTATTCTCATCCACTAACTAATTTATAAATATGAATTCAATATGAATAGATGTGAGGATGAGTCACTTATATAAAGGTTATAAAATGGTTGAAATAACTACGTAAAATAATTTGTTGTTAACAACTAAAATACATGTTATTAACCATTTAAATGTTTTCATTAACCATTAAATATTAAAGCTAAGTGGATATAATCACTTGTATTTTAGTAGTTAATCAAATACTTTAAGTAGTTAATGAGATATCTCTATAGTGCATTCAATTTATAATTATAAAATAAGTAATCAATGAGATAAATATTTAATAAATGATTAATAATTTTTATTTAAAAATGAATAAAATACTCTAAATAATTAATGACTTAAATACATATTTTCTTTTATTTTATTAAAGGTAAGTTATTGAATAAAAAAGAAAAAACAAAAATGACGGAGACATAAAATCTAACCCATCAAACAGTTAACGAAAATGATAACGGTACATGTTCAACCTATTCCGAGAAAAAAATTCAAATATACAAAGTGATTTCCACTAAATGTCATAGTGAACAAAAGAGTATTCATTGGCTAATCTATTCGTACATGCATTTCATTATCCGAAAATATAATATATCTTGAATTTAAAGCAACAAATAGTGTGTAAAGTATTATTCCTTTCAATTAAAGGAGGCAAAGGGATAAACTCGCATTAGAAAATGCAGAAATGATTAACATTAATTCAATTTCAAGCCAAAGATTTATTCAATTCCTCATGTTACCGTATTCAATAGCAAATATGATTCCATACAATTCAATTTGAAAGAAAGTTCACAATTCAATCTTAGCTTAGAAAGCTCCCGAGAATAATCATAAATCATTCTTGAATATGCCACCACAAATTAATATTCCAGGATTTTCACTTGAAACTCCATTTGTGTTGCGCTTATTCCGATTACGACTAGGAAAACACCAATTAACTTGCATGACTTTAGATGCAAGAGGAGGTCGATATTTGATGTCAAAGAATTTAATGATTGTAAACTCATAAATGAAGAACACATCTGGCCATTGAAAGAAGTAGATGAAATATAGACAAATTATTTAACATGAAAAGTGTTTATAATAAAGTCAACTATATCATTTTAAGACTTAATATCATTTTTTGTGGGACAAGTTTTCCAAAGAATTATATTGATGAAAGTGTCATACCCTAATATTCCACCTCATTTTCATCATTTTTGCATTACATCAAGTGTCTCATGTATGTGACTTTTATACATTACTAACCCCATTGAAAATACAAAATATGTGTCTTGCTTGCTTTGCTTACAAATTTGGGTTTTACTTCAAGAAGTTCAATCAAATGATCAATCAAGAATTTATGTGATTCTAAAATTCTCAAGCTCCCAATTCATTCAATTTGATCAAGATTTTCCCTTCATCCATAATTCAATTCAAGATTACATCAATGCAATTTCATCAAGCTCCAATTCATTTGGTACACCAAATTAGGGTTTAGACTAAAGACAGCCTGGGGTTGACTTATTCATTTGAGCATGACCTCATACCTCAAAACATAATTCAAAGGTCTCAAGTACATCATTTTAGTCTATTCATGTGTTTGGATTAGCTCAAGAAGTTTGATTTATTGACAATTGAAAGATTTTGATTCAACTTATGAAAAGTCAACTGTTAATCAAAGTCAAAGTTTGACTTTTGGATTTTTTGGTCAATTATGGACTTCAAAAGTCAAGGATCATAAAAATATGGAAGATGATTGAATTTGATCATGATTAATCAAAGAAATCATTCAAAGATGCAAAATTGCCAAAATTAGGATTCTTGAATTTTTCTAAGTACAAATTATCATGTTCAAGTGACCTACTTTCCAAGGTTGTAACTTCTTCCTCAAGTATCCAATGGAAATACTTGAGAGCTTCACTTAAATATGGCCTTTGATACTACAAGTTGATGGAAATTACAAGCCCAAAGCTTTTTTTAGAGTAAAAGATATTAATGTCCAAAATTAGGGTTTCAAGTTGTGT